GAGAGATGAGTGAAACCACAAATAAAAAGAACAAAGCAAGTGACAAAGAAATGCACTATATATAGAGATATATAGTCTCCGCGCAAAGAAAGAAGGACACAGAGAGAAAAAAAACATCAAACAGTGTGAGGCACAAAAAAAAAGACGGAGAAAAACAAGAACATATGAAACCAGATAAATAAAAGGAAAACGAAAAAACACGCAACAGAGGGGAAAAAAGGTCTCATAAGTAAATTAGGAGGCAACAGACGAAGGGAAACAATAACCCCTAGTAATGCCATCAGTCGCCGTTCAAAGCCGGAAGGAACGCGAGAACAAGTGCACCCCACAGCCCTCATTGCCAAACCGACAAAAAGATTTGGAGTGAAGAGCACAAGTGAGTTCAAAACGAAAACAAAAAAAAGCTTTCACTGTTTGTCTGGCAAGAAAGGAAGGAGAAACAAAACGAAAAGTGCCTGGGATGCAAATGTAAAAACGGCCTGTAGCTTCCCCAGGATTCCAGAGGGGCGCTGGCGCATAAAATGCGATCAGGAGAGTCCAACAGAAGCAACGGGAATGGGGCAATGCAGGAAAAGGTAAGCATCCCTCTCCTCCCAGTATTATTAATAATACTAACCAATATGACGGGAATTAGCAGACAAAAAAACAGAGAAAAAAATACCCGATTATGTACAACAGCTCCGCTAAGAACACCCGCTGGCGTACAAAACTGGTATCCATAGCATTTTTTTTTCTATTTCGCTCTTAAAAGTTACCCTGCAATAGGCAAAACACATCAGGAAATAAACCAAATAGTAACTAGGGCATCTACCCTTTTGAAGCCGGCCCTATGCAGTTGTTTTTATTTCTTTTCTTTTTTTTGCTTTTCTTGTCGTTTTTATCACCGCTGGTGTGTGCAGATCGTTGTTTTTTATTTCAATCCCTCCCTTGTTTTGTTTTTCTTCTTAGTTGTGTCTGCTTTAGTGGAGCTTCCCTCCTGCGTTAGTCTCCACCCTGCCCACCCAAGCCCCATGCATTGCGCACACCCCGTCGCTGGTTGTCTGTCTCCGGCTCCACCTACTGCGGTGCGCCGTTTCTCCCGGATTCACAAATGCGTTTTAACGCCACTCACTCGCTACTTTTCCACAGCTCCCACCCCCAAACACTTCCGCGACTTTTCGATAGACTTGTAGGGATTGTGACGGTAAACGCGAGCAGGTTTTCCCATGCAGCCTGAATGTTTGTCCGCATCCTTCGTTCCACCAATAACGCCATGACACGACGCAAGACGGGCCTCGTGGACGGAGCTGAGAGACATCTGGTAGGGCGTTGACGCAATGGAGACCGAGAAATTGCCGCCGCCCTGCGAAAATGTAGGGGGAGAAACGGTGAGCCCATCCGAGCTCCCCAAGAAACCTTGCCCGATAGACGCATCAAACGCTTTGTAGGCAAGGCAAGAGATGCCGTTGCTGCCAGCAACAGACAGCGGTAACGATCCAAGTGAGTCGTGTGGCAAAACCAAGGGAACCATCATGGGTGTTTGAGACATCGGCGTGAAGGTCCCTACGGCAGAGGCTTGTACACTTTTCTCAGCCCTGGACGCATTTGCCTCTGTAAGGCTTTCATTGCCGGCAACGGAAGAATCCATGCTCTTCTTAAAGCTTTCCCCGAGAGCGTTGAGAGGCACAGACTTTGCGGCCTCATTAGATGATTGAGAATCATCCATACTGAGGGCAGCCACCTCGTGCGGCTCCGTGTTTAAGGGGAAAAAATCTGCCGATTGCGAGTTGAGGAGCAGCTGAGAGGCAAAATCTTCCTTAGACGAGGGACAGCCACGGGAGGGCGAAACCAAATTTAATTGGTTCCCCCACGCCGCGTGAGATTCCGAAATGTCAGCTTCTGAGGAATGCACGGAGGCATGAACACGTGGCATCGCCTGCGCAGGGGGGCGTTTAAAGTCACTTTCGACATTCGGGTCCACGTAAACTGCATGAATGAAGTTGCAATTTTCGCCGCGGTTGCACATCCCATTGCAGTAATAGTGAACACAGTGAGAAAGACGCTGGGTAGTGTCCTCTCGGTACAATAGCGCTCGACGAGTCACGAGAATACGTTCGCTGGGGATCAAATCGGGCTTTTTACTTCTGTTTCGCGAGTACACCTCAAGCACGTCTCCCGGAGGCAGCCGCTCGTAAATGCAGAGATTCTCGTCACGCCAGATGTAGTTGACATGAATGGGCTTGGCCTCCAGCGTCGAATAGTCTACATTGGCGTGGACAAAGCGACAGTTTTCCTCCTTCGAACAGGAACCCCACTCGTTGGGCCTGTAGTTACGGCACCTAACGAGTCGGGAAATAATGAGGCGTGCCGGAGGTGTGTGCACCACCAAGTGGACGGGCGTCATGTAAAGGCACTTAAAATCGCAGTCAAATACCTCCAAGTAGTTTTCCACGTTTTTTGCTGCGGCCGGGGGTTTTGACGGCATTACGCCTTCGTTCCGAGCTGTGGCTTGTGGTGAGAAAAGAATAAAGCGGGCTCGTCTCCTTTCCGTTAGCGCCTGTGGTTGGCTTCGCTTCACGAAGACCAGCAAGGAACAAAGCAACGCAAAAAAAAAAAACAAGAACAAGAAAAAGAACAAGACAAACGAATATAAAAGAGGGGTGAGTTCATCGGTGCCTCTTATCCGACACAAAGAGTGGAGTGCACCCAGCAGTGAAGAGGGTGAGAAACAAAACAAAAACAAAAAGGAAGCAGCACTCCTTTCTTGCAGTGTTTGTTTGTTTTTTACCTCTCGTCGTGCGCCTCTCCGTCATCATCATTTTATGTTACAGCTGGTCAGCACAACAAACATATCGGCGCATAAAAAATATACACACACTTATATAAGCACATGATGTTTAAAAAAAACAACGGGTGACACGCACGCACACGCACACGCACACGCACACACACACAGATGTGCGGGCAAGAAAGAACTCATTGCACCCCCGTCCTCATCTAAAAAAAAAAGAGGGAAAAAACTGGATCCGAGGCCCAGCGCCTACGTGGCAAAAAGACATACCTGCTGCATATGCATGACAATACAATCCAACCACTTACGCACAGAACACATTACAAACAAGAAAAAAACAGGGGCGAGCATACACAAAGAACCAAAATAAATAAATGCACATATGCGGATTTATACACAAGTTAGGTTATGAAAGCAAAAAGATAAAGCGAAAAAAATAACCAGCAGAATTAAAGCAGTATCGTCATCAAATAGAGTGATAAGGGTCATGTCTGTACACACGACAACGACGTCGGTCAGAAGTACGTCCATTACATTGAACCTCACGCGCAGCCTGTAGAGGTTCACTGTCGCTCACGCATAGTTTTAGATCAGTTACAGCTTCCTCGCCCGAGGAACTGTGTTGGGGCCCATCGACGCTCGTTGACGAGGAACTGTTCAGCCGCGTCCACGAATTCGGGCTCTGAGCAGCGACGGTCGGCACAAACGACTCCCCCTCACCGCGGTTCAGGACTTTATCCAGCATTAGAGGGTTTGGATGCAGGCCGGTGAGGTCATCTTGGCGAGGACGCCGTTGGGGGTTGTTGTTGTTGACGGCACTCTCAGTGGGCAGCTTCAGCGCAGTTGGCACACGCAGGCGGTGCGAGCGACCCGATGCACGCTTGTAAACCTCAGTGATATTTGGGTCAACGTACAGTGCATGAATAAAACCGCAGTCCTCGCCACGGTTACACAGGTAATTAAAGTAGTAGTGTGCACAGTGCGAGGGCGCTTGGGCCTTCACTTTGCACGCCGAATACGCACCCCGCGTCGCAAGGATGTACTCGCTTCGGAATCGCACGGCAGGAGGCTTGCCATTCGGTAGCAACACATCCAGAAAATCGCCTGGCGGCAACCTTTTGTACATGCAGAACTCCTCATTACGCCAAGTATAGTTCACATGGATCGCCTGCGCCTTCAGGGTTCCAAGGTCTACGTCGGCGTGCACAAACTTGCAGCTTTTGCCCATTGCACACGAGTCCGCCTCAAAGCGTTTATAGTTGCGGCAAAACATCACCCGCGAGGCCGGGGATTTCGCCGGGGGGAGGTGCACGACCGAGTGGGAGGGCACCATGTAAATGTGAGTAAGTGCGGAATCAACAACAAGCACACAACCGTTTTGGCAGCTCACGGTAGGCTTTACTGTGCCTTCTCCTCCTAGAGCTTCCATTACTTTTTAGTTTCTCTCTTGCTGAGAGGGGGACGCAGTGGGTAACTGGAATGAAGAACGGGGGGGAAGGAAAAATAAAAAACGCATACAATGGGGAACCGGCCGCAACAAAGGACGGAGTGAAAGACCCTTTCTCCGACTGATCCAAGTTCATTCAATCCGGTGAGGGAAAAAAAGTGGTTCAGGCATGAGTGGCAGAACAGCGTGTGGCGAGCCACTGAAGCTCGAGTACACACCAGACGAGGCGCCCGGCTAAAGCCTGCTGCATTCTCCCTTGGGGTGAAGGCACAAAGGATCACAGTTGGATTCAATGTCCCCAACATCCCCCAAGTAAGAGGAGATTCATCCCACAGACAGAGAGAGACACACACACGAATCCATGCAGAATAAAAATGTAAAACGAGTGACTTCATATGAAAGCGTGTGATGATGACCGGGCTCGTTGGGAACTTACGAAGTGGCCGGCTTTAGTGTTCCGCAGCCGCCAAAAAAAAACCCCGCGGGAGGAGTGTTAGTAGGAGTATTAGAGGGATACTGCGTGGGGAAGCAGAAGGTCAAAAATTGCACGCAGCCACTCATTCCATCGCGGGGCCTTTAAGAGCGCACGAAGTAATCGGCAACACCAAAAAAAAAAAAAACAGGGGCGCGTTAAACAAGAAAGACACGCAATTAGTTTGTCTCGGCTTTTGGTCGCACCTTCCCTCCGCCAGCTTCTACGACGAGGGAGCAGCAGAGAAGAAGAAAAAAAATGTACTTCTCAATCAAATAAGGCGTCAAAAAAAATGTACACTTGTGTGGCGGAAAACCTGATGTCAGCGCACACCACGGGAAAAGAAGGCACATAAGGAAGAAGTGGGAGTGAGTGCGAATGTGTGCGGTAAGGAAGCGGTGCCCCAAGTACACCTCCCAGAGAAACTAGCGGAACTGCGCCCCGGTGAAGAGGGCACTGCAGTCGTACAAAGGCCCACGCACGGCGACAAGGGGAAGGGAAAAAAAAGAAGATACGACGAGTGGAGCAGGGCAAAACAACGAGAGGAAGTGTCGACCGGCACAGGAAGATGTGCCGAACAAGAAAGAATCTCAACGAATTATCCACGCCGGCAGAGCGAAAACAAGAAAGAAACAACGTCTTCGCAACACCAGTCCCACTACCAGGAAACAATTCCAGACGGCAAAAAGAAGAAAAACAAACAAACAGCGAAGTTGCGTTGAAACTTTTTGTTCCCATTTTATTTCATCGCTTCCTCTCCGCATTCCTTTTCTCTCTGTTTTCTACTGGAACGAGGAACTGCTATCAGTGATTTGCTCCAGCGCCGTTTTCTCCGTGCCCCCTCACCACCCTTCCACCCCCGGAACTCCCTTCAAATAAAAACAGCTTTCACTCCCTGCTTGCCGCG